AGGACATATGCCCGGGCTGTGGGCTCCATCCCCAGTAGGGGGCGTGCGGGAGGAGCCGATCCATGATTCTCGCTCATCATGGATGTTTCTCTCTCTCTCTCCCTTCCTCTCTGAAATCTATAAAAATATATTTTAAAAAAGGACAGAAAGAAAGTTGGTGCCTCAGACCCCAACGCTGGTTTTCTCTGGGGAACAGATGATGGGCAGTTTCACTTTTCTTCTTTAGACGACCCTGTCGCTTTCAAAGTTTTTACAAAGGACAGAGATGCGACAACAAGCCACCAGAGAGCCTTTAGACGTGTTCCTCTCTGAGGCCCGGAGGGTTTCCGAGGCGAAGCGGGCCCCGTAGGAACGTCCCGGCCCGGGTCCGCCCGTGTCCTCACGCCGCCCGTCTGCCTCTGCAGGGCCCAGAAGGATCTACATCTACAGCCTCAAGGGCATGGTGCCCCCTTTAAATGCGCCCCACGGGCCTTGGGACACGCCGGCCGGGGGCCCCCTGGCTTTCCTGGCGGGGCCCTGTGTTTGAAAAAGGGAAGGTGTGGGCGGGGGGAAGGTGAGTGCAGAGTGTCTGGCTCTCCCTGCCGGGTTCTTTAAGGGGGGGGGGGGGGTGGGAGGGGAGAGAGAGCAAAGCCACACCCCCCTGGACCGCCAAGCCCAGGTCACTGTCAGCCTTCACCCAGGAGACCTGGGCTGTCCTCAGGGCCCGTCCTGTCAGGGAAAACCCACGTGACCAGTAAGACTAAGGGCTCAGTGGACAGCTGTCCATGCAAATACCACAGCCCTGGATTTTGGCAAAATGCTTTTATACTAGTACATATACTAGAGTCCCAGTGCATGGATTCATGTACTGGTGGGGTCCCTCGGCCTGGCCTGCGGGGATCAGGCCGAAACTGGCTCTCCGACATCCCCCGAGGGGTCCCGGATTGCGAGAGGGCGCAGGCCAGGCCAAGGGACCACACTGGTGCACAGTCGGGGCCGGGGAGGGACCGAGGGAGGGCTCCAGGGCGTGTCAGGCCTGTCTCGCCCAGTCCCTATCAGCCAGACTCCAGCAGCAAGTAAACCTACCCGTCAGAGCATCTACCCCCTGGTGGTCAGTGCGTGTCATAGCGAATGGTCGAATGAACGGTCGGACACTTAGTGTATTAGGCTTTTATTATATAGAATATTTATTTTTAAGTTTCCTGTTTTTATTTAATTACATTTTTTATTGTTGATAGTATTACAGATATCTCCCATTTCCCCCCTAGATATATATATATATATTTTTTATTGATTTCAGAGAAGAAGGGAAGGAGAGAGAGAGAGAGAGAGAGAAACCTCAATGATGAGAGAGAATCATGGATCGGCTGCCTCCTGC